CATTACTCCATACAATGTGTGGTTCATTGCAAACAATCTAGCTATTTAAAAGTCAAAGGAAATCCTATATATTTTTTCATAATGCTAAACAAAATAGGCACATGTACCAACTTTTCGAATGTAAGACATGTAATTACAATTTGTTTTTCATGCACCGCATATTTTTAACATTTTCAAATTAAAAAATCCTCCTTGCAGTGCCCCATTTGAAAATAATTCCAAAGAACCTCTAGCGTAATCACATATGTTTAGGACATGTTTTATCTTTTTTCTTGAATCTGAAACCAACAAATCATCAAGACTTGTTCCATGAGAAATTAAATATAATCATTGTAATAAACATTTATCCACAGCAGATATATCACATGCCAACCACGTGCTCAGTGGAATAATTTTATCGAGGCCTTTCGAGCTGTAAACAGAACAGTTTTTCCCGATTTGCTGAAGTGGGGTTAAAATAGCTTTTTTTCAGTAATCAGACGATGCAATGCAACAAATAAAAGTAGTAAGTAATATAACCTAATGATTATTACTTAGTAATTTCTTTCTTTATGTTATTATGGTCGCGAATATATAAACCAATGCTATTCAACTCTGTGTGAAGAACAATCAAAATTAAACACATGGCCTCAGGAAGACACCCATATGAAAAATCAGATTTTCAAGAATTATGGATAATGACAAGAAAAAAGCGAAACAAATGGTTGTAGCCATATTATCAATGAATCAAACTAACACTATATTCAATGCATTTTTCATCTCGTGAATGCTGTAGCTGCGCAGTTCTAACAATGATTAATTTCCTCCTAATTAAAACAAAATAAACTTAATTATTAACTGATTTTGGTCTCTAACAGTAGGTAATTAGTGCATTAGCACTTTGAGTAACTTTGGGCTAGTTTAGTAGAGTATTATGCGCATTCTTGGTATTTCTTATTTTACACCAACTAGAGCCAATATGGCTTGTACATCCCCCTTAAGAACGCAAATGGTGAATCCTTGGTACACTGGAAAGAAAAAAATGTAACTATCATTAGATTTGTTTGGGGGGGGGGGATTGTCACAACCAATATATATATTATTTTCGAGGCCCTATACAAGGGTTTTTGTTGCGCAGAAAATATTGTCCCTTTGGACTCGATATTACCCCTTTAGACTCGATTTGCACTGGTCCGCGCTAGCTACAATGAAGCGCATTGAAGTGGTAAAATTTTCCGTTCGAATGGAACGTTTTGTGCTATCTTTAGAATGTTTATTGTCATCATATGACACGCCCATTTCTTTAGAAATGGATAAAAAAAAAATACCCAGAACATGTTTTTAAATATAATAGCCAATCAAATTGAACAGTTGGTGTTAAGGCTTTCATTCACATGTGTTCATTATGACAAGACCTTTTAGTTCAAAAATATGTACATATTTTTGCAATTTGTGTTTTACAGAAGCGGGGAGTCTCTAACTCCCTCTTCTAATTTTTTTTTAAAGCTCCAATTCAGTGTAAATCATGATGCTTGTCGCGAAGAATGGGGTGTCCTAAAACTACGACGAATATTTCTTTCTCGTTTCTAAAAATATGGGCGTGTCATTGTGTTATAATTGACGTTCAAAATATGACTCAGAACTTTTCATCCAAACGGAAAATTTTACCACTTCAATGCGCTTCATTGTAGATTCTCGGCGGTGAAATCGGCAGCCATCCTGGTCATGACACCATAAAAATTCACATACTAGTAAATGATATACATGTATATACAGTTTAGAAGAGATCTGGTTACATCGTCAATCGTATTATTTCCTAAGTTTATATATTCACGACATAAGCACCATACAATTTTGTACTCTTTAAAAAATAGATACAATGAAGCGCATTGAAGTGGTAAAATTCTCCGTTTGGATGAAAAGTTCTGAGTCATGTTTTGAAGGTCAATTATAACATAATGACACGCCCATATTTTTAGAAACGAGAAAGTAATATTCGTCGTAGTTTTTGGACATCCCATTCTTCGCGACAAGCATCATGAGTTACACTGAAATGGAGCTTTTAAAAAAATAGAAGAGGGATAGGACAGCCATCTTGGTCATGAACACAAATTGCAACGAATATGTACATATTTTTGTATATATCATGTCTATTGAAGTTACCACAACACATGTTTCGGTCGAACACGTGTTTACTCGGTATTATTTCCTCAATTTGATTGGCTATATATTGGAAAACCTGTTCTACAGGTATTTAAGAAACAACTTGACCGTTTTATCAATTTCTAAAGAAATGGGCTTGTCAAAAGATGACTATAAACACTCTAAATATAGCTCAAAACGTTCCATTCGAACGGAAAATTTTACCACTTCAATGCGCTTCATTGTACCTAAAATTAAGTGTTCAAGTTTCAGTAAACTAGGCATGCATAAATATATATATAGGGTTAATTAAATAGATCAGACAAGCGAATTTAATCTGGTAATGGGATGGGAGACGAAATTGAGTTCAATGGATATGCATGGTCGGAATTTAGTTCAAAAGTGGCCGCGTTATGATATCATGCAATAGTGATTACTGAGACTTTGAAATCAAGACATCAGAGATCATAATATCCAATTTCGATGCATAGACACAGAATGTGTGAACTGATTTTTCTTTTGATGATAGTTAATTTTTTTAAAGGCAGTACTGAGAACTTCTGAAAATATTTGTTTCTGGTTTAAGTATCCATTCACCTTATGAACTAGCTCTTTTAATTCTATTCTAAAATTAGATAAGTAAATAACAAAAGTGAGGAAAAAAATCAACTATGAAGAGTGCAAGGCAAACCCAATGCCATATTCATCTGTCATCATGGTCATACTTTGAAGTAATTTTTTTATTGCATCCACCTCAAAAATTAATCGATTCTTTGTTTCGTTTTCCTTGAAGCTGTTCATTTTTAACTTTATTGTAGACAGTTTATAGCAAAAGCAGATATCATTTCATATTTCGAAAAGATAGTTTTATTCTTCCGACGTGGTCTCGGTCCGAATCTTCTTTGATCAACTTGTCCAATAAAAGCGGCCGCCATATTCCGTCTGGTGCGTGGTTTGTGCATTGTTATTGTTTGCAGAATATTTCAAGAAATTCACTCGCCTGTTTTGCATCACCACCATTCAGAAGTGCGTAAAAATACACAATTTTATTTGCTAATGAGTTTAATGTTAAATGAGTTATGTTGCATAAGCATATTTCTTGTATTTTACATGTTGTTTACGCAGCGACCATCGCATGCCTTTCGATATTAACACGAATCCCGATACTCGTATGTTGCCAAACAGCAATGGGATGGTCTTACTTACATAAAATAACTTATGGGCAACATGTCTGATTTAAAAAAAAAACAAACAGTACAAAATAACTAGATCTTCAGTCGTTTTACTGGTAAAAATTCTTATTAACCTAGGCAAATACCATGGATGGAGTTAAACTTGGAATATTTTAATCATGAATAGAGTTACACTTAAGAATATATTCTACCCATGTGGTTGCCTGCATGGCTCAAGTGCTTAGAGCATCTCCTCAAGAGTCCTTAAGCAAGGCGTTGATCCCTACGTCAAGGGTTCCATTCCGACTGTGATGGAGACTGGTCCTTTGAATGAAACCGCATAAACCAAGGTCCTTTGTCGCAGTAGGTTCAGGCACGAAAAAGATCCCTCTCTGCTCAGTGGCCCTGCGTGCCAAGCATAGGACAAAATTTGCAGCTCTCCATTGGCATCTCCATAGTCCATAAGTGAAAAATTCTTGAGAGGGACGTTGAACGACATACAATCAATCTACCCCTGTGAATTGTGTTTCTTACATATGCATTGTTTATGTTACTTTCTGCAGTATTTACAATGTAAAAAAAACAATGGCCCAGATTTAAACATGGGAAAGTGCAAGTTGTATTAAAAGTAGAACAGGTCTTGTACCATTTATTCATATTTTTTTTTAATTAGACACACAAATTTAAAAAGCAAAGAAATGCAATAAACTGAATTTAAACAACAGCCAAGAATATATGGCAGTCTATCCCAAAAGCACCGGTCCGTCGGATAAAACAGGTGAAAATCTGATTGGTCCGATACACTATCTAGTAAAATCGGTCCGTTTGTCCGAGGTTCGTTTTGGTTGGATCATCATAAAGACGCTTAAACTTATACTAAAACACACTTTTAAAAACCTATTGTATTTGTTGATTGTGATTGTTTTAAAATCTACTAATAAAAATTATGTTTATTTACTGTAACCCGACCGACCCATTCAAATTATCCCCGAGTGGATTTTTTTTTTGACTATTGCAGTATTGGCAAAACTGCGTATGATCAATCAGCCGATTCCATTTATTAAAAAAAATGAACTTGTAGCTTTTAATAACTTGAGACATAAAATATGTCAATCTAGTTTACAAATTACCTTAAATATAAAGAGTAATTATTATTGTAACAACAATTCCCCCCCTACAACTTTGTGAAGTTCGTTTTCGGCCGGTAGGAAGCCATTTTGGATGCCACGTTGGGTGTCCACTGGAAATATGACACCTGGTATATTCAGTCTAGGGATGTTTGGCCATTTATAAGCAAAAAAAAAAAAAAAGAATTCCTGACCTACCGACCCTTATTTTTTTGGGAATGTTACAGGAAACAAACATATATATATATTTTTTAAGCTTAATACATGTTTACTGATTCATATGCTATGAAAAAACATCGTTATGATCATTATTTGAAAAAAGTTTTGGACCGGTGAAAATTCGTTTGGTCCTGTGAAATTGTGTTAACTGTCTGTCCGAATGTCCTGTGGCGATTTTTCTTTTTCGCGAAGACTGATATGGTACTCCGACCATGGTTGATGCCCTATTTAACAAAACACCCTGTAAACAACGGAACTTAATATTTTGTTGAAGGATGCCATGCTTTATATATGTTTATAATTGAGATTGCCATTGTGTTGGTCATTTTAAAGAAGGTAACATTCTAACATTTTTATTTAGAATGCCTCCTAGAGGAAAGCAGGTAGCTAGAAGAGGCCGAGCAGGCAGGTGAGTATTTAAAATGAATTTGTAGTAGATTTTTTTTGCTTTTTCCTAATTTATTTGAACTTCCTCAGAAAAAATACTTTATTCTACAGTATATTGATGTGTCTTTATAATGAAGGACTTTAAAAGATGTTTTACTTTCTGTACAGTTCACGTGCAGCAGCTGTGAAAAAAGACGCTATAAAACCTATTGACGACGAAGAAGACAAGAAGATGGAGGAAGGGGGTGACCTGGTGGATGTTGATTTCACGGTGTCTGATCAGGAGGAAGAGGAGGAAGACACCAGTAAGGGGGAAGATACCGGGGCCAAGGAAGAGAAGGAACAGGAGAGCGAGACAACAGAGGCTGCAAATAACGAAGATAAAGAGAATCACGCTGGTGAGGCATTATCGATGTTACTGTAAAGTCACATAATTTCAAGGGGCTTAACATTATGCAGCTCTAAACATGTTTAAGCATATGTTTAATAGATGTAGATTAAAAATTAAAACTAGTAATTTGGTTCAAATTAAGAATATTTAATATATTAAAAAAGTGTCTGTGATGAAAACAGTAAAGAAGTCTGTTGGAAAAAATCAAGGAGTCACCGGTCTATGTTATTTTTGAATACTGTACCTTCATAATTGAATTATTTGTAACTTCTTTGAGTATAAACCTGATTAATTTCCTGATTCAGATGAAATAGAGCTGAAAGCGGTGGAGCTAATAGATGAAGATGAAGATGCTCTGGAGGAAGAACTGAAAGAAGAAGAGGGCAAAGAGGGGGAGGAGAAAGAGAAGGAAAGGAAGGAGGGGGATAGAGAGAAGAAGGAAGGAGAGGAGGATAAAAAAGAGGAAAAAGTGGATCCTGATGCACCAGAAAAAACACTTCTGACACATGGTAAATTAACTTTACTTCATGATGACATATTTGCTAGCTGTAGGGCGCTACAAGTCTTTGTTAATATCTGAGTATTGTTCAATGTCAAAAAACAAAGTGAATTGATATTAGACAAGTTTAAGATTAAATAGGATTGTGAATAACAACCACTTGGTGTAAAACTTTTAGGTAATAATATTTTTCAGTTTGTAGCTTTAGCCTTGTGATATTTTTCAGTTGTTAAGGGACCTGTGCGAATCTCCGTTTTGACCGTAGCTGATCTGAGTAACAGAGATCTCCAGTCACTGATTCAGAAATCTGTCAAGGCAACGCTGGACTATGATGATCGAAAAGGGTAAGTCTTGTGAATGGAGAAATTCATTACCCCACCACGGACTGAAAAAAAATCTGTACATGTATACATTTAGTAAGAGTTTGGGAGCTATTGATAACTGTTTAGTCATCATGGTTCATGGGGGACCAATCTTCATTGATTTCACAGGTCCCTCAAACCATTAATTTGTCAGTGGATCAATTCATAGAATCCTGTGTAAACAAGTTACATCTTATGAGTCAGTTAAGATATTATCTGTCCACAAACATAAAAATTATGACTTGTGATTTCAGAACAGTGACTATGTGGTATAATCCAAGGCGCAGTAGGAAGGCCATTGATATCTTGTCTGGTCTGGCCAAACTAAAGCTGACGAATGATGAAATCAGTGTGGCCTGTCCTAGAGCTTTTGCAGCATTGTTGGGTAAAGCATATCATTTGATAATTGTCCAATGTATGAGTATGCAGCATAGTTATATAACTGTAACAATTACTGCAGAGCAAAGGTAAAGAATCATGTACCTAACTAACAGACAATATTAATACTATGCCAATGGCACAGATCAAAATTCTTGTTAGGCACGCACCTGAATAATCTAATGTCATTTGCCTTTATTTATATTTAGTTATCTCTGCCCTGAATGTTTTTGATAATATGTTCTGTAAACAGGTTATTGTATTTTCAATATCTGAATTGCAGCCACGGAGAAAAGAAGAGAGAAGTTTCCAAATTTTGATGGAGGTAATGTTTGTTAACTTGTTGAAGAAGAATAACATCATAAAATAAGGCCCTACTCACACACAAAAAAGACCAAGGGTAAACAAGGAAGAGAAAAACTGAAACCGTATACATTTAGTGGTTTGTCAGGTTAAACTAATGGCAACATTTAATATGCAGTTTTAAGACTTGCCAAGAAAGAGAAATTAATTCAAGGGAGGTCAGAATAATGCAGTGTTTGTGAATAGGTCAAAGAAGTTGTGGAATAAACATACAAGATATAAATTAAACTCAACATGAATTGTATCATATGGGTTGAAATTCAAAGGTGTAAAATGAACTATTCAAGTTCAAGTCCTCCCACTCCCTCTGAGAGCATAAAATGTGTATTTATTAAACAAGGAAATAGATGAAAACAAACCTGGAAGTTGATGCTGAGATTGCTGATTAGCTGTACTAATTATTTTAGTAAACAAAATGGCATCAATAGAAGACTAAAGCATAAATAAAATTTTGTTTGTCATGGAGAAATTTTGCTTACAAAATGCAAATGCCACAAGTTGATTGCTTGGAGGTTTTAAGCAAACATATAAATAATTGGATTTTGCAGAAATTTAAATGTATTCTCTTTATACATCTCAAGTCTTTCTAAATTAAAATGCAGCTTTTTTTAGACAACAAATTTTTGCAGAAGGCAGATGTTGATGATTTTTCAAATATATTGTGATGGAAGATAAATAAATATTCTTTGAGTTTATTTGAGATCAAGGAAGAAAACGGAAGGAAAGTGGAATGATCAATGAATCAGTGTTTTCTCCAAAAATATCCAGAACTGCATTTATTACATGGATCTTACTGTAGCAGCTTTATGACAGAACACCACTTATCAGCATTAAACAGGAAAGTCAAGGTGAACTTGGATGATATCAAACTAAACTGAAAATGCATTCAGAACAAAACTGTCCATGGAGAATTTGGATATCAAAGGAAATGTCTTCTTGAACTTTAGCCAGAACCAAACTGGATATCGCATTCTTGAAAGTTAGCCTCTAGGAAGTCTACAGAAGAGAGAGGAAAAACACACTTAACTAATCTGAAGAAACTTTTCACTTTTTGAAGAAAACCCGAGGATAAAATAAAATCAATGTACATATATTCTTCAACAGATTTTAAAGACCCAATTTAGCAAGAAATAGAATGAAAGATGCTAATGTGAATGGAAAAAAAATCCAAGATCCTTGATTTTTCCTGCAAAACTGTGTACCTAACATCCCTGATACAAGTATGTTTCAGTATGGTTGACAAAAAGCAATTTTCTCAGGTACATGTACTTTGTAACTTGGTAAGAACTGTGAAAATTTTAAAGGATTGGAAAAATAATGGTGCATTATGCATAAGGAGATTTAGAAAATTCTTGAAAGGATGCTTTTGACGATCGTGAAGAAGATCCACCTGTGAAAACAACAACATAGGTCAATACCATTATCAGTCTGATTTTCTTGTTCTTTTTGTAAATTTACCCCAAGGTATGAAGAAGAAACTGGACAAATGAAACTCGCAGAAAATTTTCACCAAAAATACTAGAAAATGCAGAAATTTATTTTAAAGGCAGCAGTAAGTGGAAATGAGAATTAGAACTGATGGATCTTCTGAGCAATCCCAATATCTAAAGAAAACAACTTGTCAGAAAATTCTTTAGAACATAAAAATAATGGTTATTTAATGAAAACTGGACAGTGAAGAAGAAAAGGATGATCAACACTTGAATAACATGAACTACAGAACACCTAGTTGATTTCAAGATATTGAAAAAAAGTCAAACGCTAGACCCTCTGTTATGGACTGGACAGAATTTTAAAAATGCAGCTTGTCTAGACAACAAGTGGAGAAAACACTGATTTCACTTCCAAATTATTATTAAGAAAGTCAAATTACTGGGAGAAGGATTTTAAGTATCATGCTACATGTCAAAGAGATTGGTACAAAAAAAAGGTATCAAGCTTTTGATTGGAAAACCCCCTTTTCAGCATTTGAAGGTTGAATTTCAGGTCAGAAAAAAGATAAGTCTGCTTATTGCACCAATATTCCCCCTGACACCACCGAGGAGGTCTTGAGAGCTATTTTCCCAGAATGCACCAATGTCCTTATCCCCACTAATGAAGAAGGTGAAAACTTTGGGTAAGTTGCAAGAAAAGGAGAGAGGAGATGAACTAAGGTAAAACTTTTGCCAATTATTGAGTGAGTGTTGTAGGTAGAGAAAAAAATATTTGAAATGAGAATGCAGGTTTTATGAAAAGATGAGAATATTATTGCAACTGATGGAATTGTGATGAATGCTTAAAAGATTTTTTAAAAAAGGATTTTGAGATTTGAAAAAAAGATGCATGGTTTGATGCAGTCCTGCTTGTGGAAAGCAAGGATATTTGAAGAGTGACCACATTTTATTTTTCAAAATCTTTTGAAGAAATGGAGGCTAATTAGAAGTGTCGAAATGCAATTATTTTTGCGACTGTCTTTAAGATCTGGGAAGCGGTTTAAGAGAACCAGAAAAGAAAATTCCCTTGTTAGCAAGTTTGGATATTCAACTGAATTATGTTTTTCATTTCAGAGAAACTATTTTGAAATTTATAAAGGATCTTTTTTTCTCATTCATATCTGATCAGATGATCAAAATTTGGTCAAATAACACACTTACTAAAATGAAGAAGGATGCTTTTGCAGAGTTTTATATTTAAAGTAAAAATTATATTTATTTTGCTAAAGCTAACTTAAAATGTGCATAAATGTAGATGACTGTAAAGTTGCATAAAACAATTAAAAAACTAATCCACAATTTTCACAAATTATGAAAAAAGATTTATAACTATATGTTACTATGAAGCACACTGTAATTCGGATATTCCTTTTTTTCATTAAAAAGAAATATGATAAATAATGTTATTATCTGTGAATAAATGTGTGTAAATGAAGAATTTTGAACTTTGACTGAACAACCTTTGACCTTTGTGTAGGTGTGCCATTCTGGAGTTTAAGAGTGGACAGGAGGCCGCCAGCTGTGTGGAGGGGAACAAGGATGTAGAGGTGGGGGACCACAAGATCAAGCTCAGCCACTGCTACCCCATGCCAGATCACGGTCAGTCAATACTGTGTAGCAACTCAAATCTGTAGTGTATAACTCAGTCACTGCTACCCCATGCCAGATCATGGTAAGTCATTATACTGTATAGCAACTTAAATCTGTAGTGTATAACTCAGTCACTGCTACCCCATGCCAGATCACGGTCAGTCAATACTGTATAGCAACTCAAATCTGTAGTGTATAACTCAGTCACTGCTACCCCATGCCAGATCACGGTCAGTCAATACTGTATAGCAAGTGTATAACTCAGTCACTGCTACCCCATACCAGATCACAGTCAGTCAATACTGTATAGCAAGTGTATAACTCAGTCACTGCTACCCCATGCCAGATCACGGTCAGTCAATACTGTATAGCAAGTGTATAACTTAGCCACTGCTACCCCATACCAGATCACGGTCAGTCAATACTGTATAGCAAGTGTATAACTCAGTCACTGCTACCCCATGCCAGATCACGGTCAGTCAATACTGTATAGCAACTCAAATCTGTAGTGTATGCCAGATCACGTTCAGTCAAAACTGTGTAGCAACTTAAATCTGTAGTGCACATGTATAACTCAGTCACTGCTACCCCATGCTAAATCACGGTCAGTCAATATACTGTATAGCAACTCAAATCTGTAGTGTATAACTCAGTCACTGCTACCTCATGCCAGATCACGGTCAGTCAATACTGTATAGCAACTCAAATCTGTAGCTTACCCTATTTTCTTTTGCAGTTAAATGAACATATTTAAATTTTTGTATGCATAATGTGGACTTGAATGTGTTATTCATATACAATAAACTTGCAAAGTACAATATCACAAATATGGACAAAATAACATCATAAATTTTTTTCCCTTCAGTTAAGGACACTTAAATTAATATTTTTAAAACGAGGCCAATCTTGATTACAGATACATGTACATGTAATGTCATTATTTTGCTAGTTCAAAGGCACAAAATTTGGCTCTCTGATGAAGGTGTCTGTTCAACCTTTGTGGACAAACTAACCATACTGGATACTGTAAACCAACTTTTATTCGCGACGAATTTATTTCGTGATTTACCAGGCATAAACTAGTTCGCGACGATTAATTTTCGCGATCAAGTCTTTTAGTATCTGTTTTTAAGGACAAATATAAAACAAGGACAAGATTAAAGATGCATGTACATATTTGCGATGATTTTGCTCTCGAAGGCACAAAATTTCGCACGCGAATAAAAGTTGGTTTACAGTATCTTAAATTCTCAAAATTATACCTCCTGATATCTAATGAATATACATCCACAAAGAATTGCTTTTTTGTTAAGTAAATTTTTAATTGTTTAATTGCATAATATTTATAATCTTGATTAAAGGGGAAAAGTATGTTTGTATAAATTTGTATTTACATTTTAAATAATAACAAACTTCCTTATACTTGATGCTTTTAAATAATTACTGGATAATTGTACTGGTAAACACTTTTTATATATGTTATGGGAAGGACCTACAAATACTAAAGGTCAATAAAAGGAAGTCTCACTGCATGTTAGCAACTTGATAATGTAAAGTTGTTTCTGTTAATAGCCTTTTGCAATGTGAATGGCATCAAAAAGTTTTAAATTTATACAATTCATTTCTTGTTGCATGTAATAAGTTTTTCAGAACAGCATAAACAAAATTGTATACATGTATATGATTTTTTTCGAGGGGGAAGGGTGTCCACTTTAAAAAAAAATTATGACTGAAAGTTAACCCCCCCCCACCACCACCACCATGTTTCACCAATTAAATCTGTTGTATGAACCTAATCAAAGAGGAGAAAAAAATATTCTTACTTTCTTTTATACATCTTACTCTTTTTTACTTGCAGTGCAAAAGAGGTTAGAGGAAGAAAGAAAGCATGACCGACCCAGAGAAAAGCACAGCAGGCCAACAGGTAGCAGGTTCTCTAACCTCAGTGGTAGACGAACCATGCCTGTAAAACGCCTGGGTACCAGCCTGTCCACTAGGTACAAGTTCGGTGCTAACAGCAGACCAAGCAACATCAGAGGAGGACGCATGCAGCGTGGTGGTGTTGGCATGCAACGAGGTGGAGTTGGCATGCAGCGCGGTGTCAACAGAAGCAACTTTGGTGGCAACATGGGGTCTAACAGGAGTAAGTTTCTTGCTTTTCATTCTTGGAACTCTGTTAGTTACTATAATAAGAACTTGGTCTTCTACTCTTCATTGTATTAAATTAGAACTTTGTCTTCTAATGTTCAATTTATCACATAATTAAAATAGATACAGGTCCATCAACTGAGATGTTGGTAAACCAGATGTCAGCTTTAACTAATATGGTGATGACCAGTCAACAGAAACTGGCCCAGCAACAGAACCTAGTCAGACAGATGGCCAATCAGCAGAACATGATGAGTAACATGAATACTGGGATGTCTGGTGGTGGATCAATGGGTGGAATGGGAGGTGGTGGTGGACGGGGGTTCAATGACATGGACAACATGAATGATGGCCGAAACAGGAGGGAGTCGTTTGACCGGGGAGGGGACAGGATGGGAGGGGGCAGAATGGGTGGAATGGGAGGGTCACAGAGGTCCCAAGGAAGGCGTGACGACTTTGACTCCAGAGGGGGATCAGGAAACAGACGGAACATTAGCAACACTCCAGGTACACATTTATTTACTTGATTCAAAATATTATTTTCTGAATACATTGTGTATGATTTTGTTCAAGATATTTCAATATTTATTTTATTTTTCACAAAAAAGGTAATATTCCACCAGGAGAATCTGCTTGCTTCAAATGTGGACAGGATGGTCACTGGGCAAGAGAATGCCCCAACCAGAACCAAAGAGATAGAGGTACAAAACTAAAATCTTATATGTAAGCATGTACAACCTTTTGACTGATGAAAAATAATTTTTTAAAATAATGAATATTTGGTTTTCAGCTCCTGCTTCAATCAGTTCTGATCGTGGTCATGGAGGGAACAAGATGGGAGGGGGTCCTAAGCCTGGGGACATGTGTAACAAGTGTGGAGAAACGGGCCACTGGGCCAGAGAGTGTCCAAACCCTCAGAGAAGTATGTATGAAAGGCTGCATAAAATTCATGTACAGCTTCTTGTTTGTCCATAGTCAGTGTATTATAATCCTTGTATTTCGTGAAAGACCTTTGTCAGAATTTCTTTGTTTTCTTTCTTTCTAGACCCCAAACCAAGTGGAGGTCACAGTGGCAGACAAAGCTTTGGTGGAAGGCAAGATAACTATGATTCAAAAAGGTAAACTTATATAAAAAAACATTGTTAATACCCGGTAGTTAAAATGTAATGGTCTCTGGGTAAAGTGAGATCAGATTCTGCAAGGTACTGCTGACATTGAGCAAAATATTTCATATTATATATAACTACTTCAGAGGAGAACAGATAGATATACAAATGGCTTTGAATATAACAAGTACAAAAAAAGTATTGGTTAAAACAAGATATAACTTATTGTTATGCATTTTGCAATACATAAGAGTCCATTGTATCTAGGTCATGTTTGTACATTGTAGGTATGATTTTAATGTTTTTGAACTTGTAGATATGATGTGGATCCTCCAAGAATTTCTGACGATGTACCCTTTATGACTGGCATTGCCAGTGGCAGTAGCAGTCAGAGGTTTGATGACAACTTTGACAGATTCCAGTCAAACAAACGCAAGAGTGATTATGACGATCATCGTGGACCAAAGAGATCTAATTATGGTATTATAGTACACATATACATTCTGGTATATAAAGAAATTGATTCCTGGATCATGTTAGTAGCAAAGAATTTTTTTTAAAAAGTTCTTTTATGCCTTCATTAGAGATTCTTTTCTGACCATTACTTATTAGTAAGAGGAAGATCAATCAAAGAAAAATCTGTTTAGAAGTCATGTATGTACCTGAAACCAATGCATACTTTGATGTAATTAATATATTAATTTACGTATGGAATGGTATAAATTTAGGAGAAATATGTACATCTTTGAAATTCTTTTAAAATAATGGATGTAATAAAAAATATGACTGTTTTAGGAGGTGGCCAGAGAGGGGGTGGAGGAGGCAACAGACGAGATAGCGGTGGGCGAGGCTTTGGTAACTACGGCAACCGAAGCCATTCCCCAAACAGACGTAACCCCAGACAGGAGTCCCCACGGGAGAAAACCTGGACCTCAGCCCAGTCCAAGTGGGAGCAGTACAACATGTCAAAGCAGGGCGGTGGTGGTGGAGGAGGTGGTATGTACATCTGTTTATTCTGATATTGGAGGTTTAGGAGAAAGTTCTTTTGTATTGTTACTTTAGAAAATTGACTTTAAGAATATTTACTGTACATCAAATTATCAATCAATTGCAATTTTCTGATGGTCTAAATAATATCCATATAGCAAAAAAAAATGTACCAATCAAAAAAAACTCACGCAAAGTGTACTTTGTCTTTGACCTTGAGGACCTTTAAGATTTGGCAGCACTTGCCTAAGGCTTCCTTAGGACAACTTACATAAGGTCCAGGCAAAATCTGGAAATAATTGTTGAATGAAATGTCATAGTACGCCAAATTCCAGCATGGCTGCTTTAACTTCTGATTGACCATGACAAACTCGGTTTAAAATTATGCTATCCCTAAGTCACTCAATTTGGTACATATCTTTCATAAATTCTTGTAATTCTGTAGCTGTTGTATGATTTTATGTCTGTATAATTGCCACTGCACGTTAGTAATTTTAAAATTTATTATTTTCTTTTTTCAGGGAGTTCGCGGAATTATGGGAATGACAACTATGGGGGCAACAACTATTACTGAAAAGGGATGTGATCGTGATTATTTCATGTTAAAGACTAGAATCTTTTATTTTCATCAAGCTACTGTGTATCATCATGTCAGGAAAAACTGGATATTTCATCATTATATCAAACAATATGTTGTGAACATATGATGCATCATTGAAATGTTTTAATTTTTTTCCTAATGCTTAAAATGTGGTGTTTTTAGTCATTTCAGTTTCAAAATAAAGTGTAATTTGAATCTGCAGATTCTGTTATGCTTTGTAGTTATACATGTATGTATAAATGGAAATTTTAGTGAGATATTTTAAATACAAATTAAGCTGTTTGTTCTTAAAAATTGGTACTTTATTTTTAGTGAGATGTAATTTTTGGCGATTTTAAAATGCTAATCAAAGAAGATATTAAAATAAAACAATTAATTTTAAGCGGTATTAAATTTTAGCAATCTCATAACCTTGCTAATAATGCCAAAAAATAAATCCTTACTAAAAATTCTGCTTATATGGTACATGTATAAGGAACAATTTTGAATGGACGATAGCTTCTTCGTCTAGCTGCTGAATACTCATTTTCTACTGGATATGTAGATTATATATTGAAGTAACATTTAAAACAACATGGTAGCATATTTAATAGACTCTTATGAATGATATTTAATCAAGACATTGGCAAATCTCATTTATCTCAGACTGAAAGGGACTGAGAAAAAACGGACATTCAAGGATTAAGAGATTGCCTTGGAAATTAGAAACCTGCAAAGGTCATAATCTGGCAAACATTATATTTAAAATTTAGATAGCCTAAGATTTAAAAGCTTCATTTGAGAGTACAATTTTAATAGACCCTTTCAGGGTAAATTGAAAATGCTTCAGAATATGGTTTTGGGCAGTTTACCGCAGATGGTGAAAGTACATTTCTTCCAAACTTTGTTGAGTTAACTTGATTAATACTGCCCCTTCTGTTTCTTTGCTCCTCTTAGATGAAAACAATTTGATTAATACTGCCCCTTCTGTTTCTTTGCTCCTCTTAGATGAAAACAATTTGTCATCAGTCTGAAAACTTATAACATTTTCAGCTTCTCCAAGATCATTGGGTCAATTTCAACCAAACTTGCTTCAAAACATCTTTGGCAAAATGGGATTTAAGTTTTCAAAAAGTTAATGGCAACACACTCTTTCAAGTGAAAATTTATTTTTATCTTTTAACATGTTAAAGGTGGCAAGCTGTATTGTATAAATCTAGGCTGTATCTAGGGTGCCAAAGTTGTCATGACCCATAAACTTTATAATATTCAGTTGAATGCCAAGTCCTATTGTCTGACAGAAGCCTGGGCTCTGGAGTCTTTGTTACTGTCATGTTTCTTTTTTTCTCTCTCCATCTAGCCAACCCACTACAGCATTGTCACTGTATCTTCTCTTTCATGGTGTTCACTCATAGATTTGCACGTAACGGGTACTAAATCATCCACTTTCCTGTTTAACAACTGAAAGTCAGTGTTTAAGTTTTGTATGATTTAATGTGGGATCATGTTTCTTACATGTATCTACATTAATAACAATGATATAAACAAGTGCCATGACATAAATTATATTTTTGGCATAAAACTTGCTTCTTTTGTCAAAAATGAAATTTGCTAGTGTAATTTTATAACCTTAACTTGCATGACTTTACATAAAACTAAACTGAATCCCATCAATTAAGGAACTTGTACATTTATCTACTATAAATTGGAGAGAACTACATTCCCAGCTAATTAAATGCAAACATCATCTAATATGAAAACAAAGTTCCAAAAAATTATAAAACCCAACCTTGACTTTTGAAAGACGATGTATCATAGAGACATGAAATAAAAATTAGGGATTTCTCAGTTATTACGCATTTAAATCATATCTTATTAACAAGCAATCTACATTTATTTACAGTCACAGTCTTAATATCTAAAAGCCTCTCCATACAAGTTAAAACTTATTGCACTATTGACTAATTAGCAGTTAAGACTTTGAAGGCCATGAATGATGATCCACATCTTAATAAGTGACCTCTCTAGAAGCACCCTCTGGTCACTAGCACTTAAACCACACGAAATACAGGACAAATTCATTGTGTAGAATACATGGGTTAACAAAAAAGTGAGTATATTCTTTTCTTCACATCTGAATTCAGAAATGGGAACAAAATCAAAATACAAACGTACATTTAAAACTTAATTGGTAACATGCAAATCAAATTTGTGAATACATGCACGAGTTTAGGTGATTTATATATTGAGAGCTTGTGGTCTTTCACCTCCAGCACCTTGATAAGCCTTGACAAAGAAAAAAAAAGACCAAAAAAAAACATACACAAAAACAATACCTTTTGTGACCCTAACTACATGTACATATTTCATGCATAAATTTTTATCACAGTCATCCTTGCACTCTAAAAAAAAAATTGAAAAAAAACTAAAATAGCATTGTTTTTTGAAGTATCTAAGTTTTTCGATGACTAAGTATTTGATATTGTTTGGATATATGTACCGATATTCATGCAAAAATACATACTAAAAATAATCCACCTTAATTTTCTGGGGAAGGGGCAAGAACACACTGTTATACTGAGTCATATCATCAGAGAACTTGAATGCCTTTTCATATAATGACATTTAAAACTGAGAAAGGTTGTCCCCTCTCTTAAAGTTTAAAAACTGAAAATGATCAATTTTACAAGAAGAATGATGAACAAATTACAAGTTTTTACCATAAAATATGCAATTACATTGTATGTGTTAAACATTCTGGGCAGTTCTCTATACAGTGTACATCAAATGGCTGTAAAACTAAGACAATCTTGCCATATTTATAGCATATCTGACACAATACAAAAATAACAAGCATTTAATGAGACTTGTAATGCATACGATATCATCTGTTGATCCAGTTCACAAAATAAACAATTGAAATCTGTGAAGCATTATATACATCTATGTGGGCAGAAGGGAAGGGGGTTGTGGTAAAAAAAATCAACATACGCTTTTGTTTCTTTTGACAAGAATGGAAATGAAAATGAGTAAAATAATAGCAAAACATACATAAAAAGACAGGAAAAATATATAATAAAATGGTTTTAATACCTAGTAAAGGAGAATAGTAAAAGAAAGAAAAATAATTCAGCAATAAAATTTCATAACATATTCCCTGCAGGAAATGTCCAGATCCCAGATGTCCTCACAGAATAATTAGTTTTGTAAGTTCTGATTCGACTAGTCCTGTCACACATTTTGGATATGGCGTGGGTCACAACGCGACCCCCCCACTAGCGGTCCTTGCTGGTCAGCTTGTCAATGAGTTCTTGGAGTGGTGCCAGCTCCCGTCGTTCGATCAGGTTGAACTCCTGGACAAAGTAGATGAAGTGCTTGAAGGAGGTGTTGAGGTGGGCCTCCTCACTGAGCTGCACCACCTCCTTGAAGTGTTGGTGGTAGATGTGGGCGTACACACGAAACAGTCTTTTCAGTATCGTTTTGGCAATTGAGAGGAAATTTTTCGGAAATGGCACACCTTTAAAAAAAAAAGACAAACTTGTTCAAGTGACCAAAGAAAATATCAAATGGAGCTAATGTATATACAACCAATAGAAATGATTGCTGAATCAGAGTTGTCAGGCCTAAAGAAAAACTACTTGATTTCTAAAAGGCTTGCAATGTTAAAATCCAATTCACTAAATCCCCCTAGGTATATCAATTTCATATGATAGAAAATAAAGATCATACAACTCAGTGGTAAAACTCTTTTCTTTTTAAAGACAAAGATATCTTTATAATGGCTGTGAATAATTTATGACTACCCTTTGTTGTTTTAAAATGCAGATAAACATGAACAGGAAGTAACAAAAAAGTCTACCACAAAATTAAAGATACTGCTAATAACAAAACATTTTTAATTTTTGCCTTAATAAAATTCTTCTACTAGAGTTAATACCAAATTTAAATGATTTATCCAGTTTTTATTTACATCATTCTGACAATATTAGTGACATCACAGCTCTTACATATGCACAACAATAAAGGCATTATCAGTGTCACTTACCAATCTTTGAAGGGAACAGGTTTTCATCATCGAGTTGGTCTTGGACCCATGACATGAGATAATCAATATATTTTGGTGCCGAGCACTTGATGGGCTTTTTGACTGTCTGCCCGTCTGCCCAGTGATACTCATATTTTGGTCCGGCTGACATCACTGGGCAGGTCTCTTCTATACAGAACTCTGTGATGGTTCCATACAACATGTTTATTTGATTGAAGAAATCTACAGCTGTCAAAGAAATAAATAAGCTTCAGAAACCTGACTTTATGCAAAAAGCAATTTTAATGAACAGACCAAGGTTTAACACAGGATAATATTTTATTTTGAAAGAAATGATAGGAAATTTTTTTTTGCATAAATCTACAGAACATCCTCCAGGTTGCAATACTTATGGCCAAATTTGATACATTATTAGACTTGAAATTTATTCTAAATGCACAGGCTTATGAATTTTCTTATTCTCTCGGATAGTCAGGACTGCTCTTGTTAGCCAAAGAATGTATGACCAGTGTAACAACTATAGAAGTACCATCCTTGTCATTGGAACTTACTATTGACCGCCACCCATTCATTGAGATCCTCCCCCTCCGGTAACATGACAGCCTGTCGTAGATTTCCGCTGCCCAGTGTGACAGCGGCATGTTTCATCAAGTCATACTGATGCGTGCCTTCAGGAATGTTCTTTTTGGGCTTGAAGGTCTTGTTGCTTCGGCCTCCACTGCCAAAATAAAATGAATAATTATTTTTTGTGGGAAATAAACTTTTCTTTCTTTTAAAATCCTGATAACAATATTTCCATTCCCTTGATTTATAATGCCCTTAAGTTACTGATATTCCTGTCTACAATGTTTACAGAAGGTGTATTTTTTGTTAACCAAGGTTTTTCCTTGCAAATACTTTCTTTATTTTCTTTTATGTAAAACATTTATTCATTTCCTTAAATGTTACTTACTGCAAGCAGCACCAAAAAAAAAAAGAACTGCAATGATTATTGATAAAGATAAAGCTTAACACTACACAGTGAATCTGTACATTTCTATTCATTAATAAAAATCAATGATGTACTAATAGCCCCTCACCCCCCCCCCATTAGATGATTAATACATTATCAGCATCACCAAGAAAATTAACAATGATATAAGGGCATAAGGCTAGAGGGCTAAAAGGGACGGGGGGCTAAAATAGGCTTTGCCTGCTGTCCAATCCAATTCACTTTTATCTGTGAATAAAAAGGGTTAGTCTGTAAGAACTGAAATTAAATGGATAGTACCTCTTCTATCACTGTAAATAATAGCAAACCAACTGCATAGTAGGGGTGGGACGATACACAGATCTTGCGATACGATACGTATCTGGATACATTAACACGATACAATACGTATCTCAATATTATGACAAATTATAAAACTCTCCAAAAAAATAGTATTTTATTTAAATTTTTTGTCTTATGAATTATAAAACTATTCAAAAGAATTAGTTTTTTTATTTCATATTTTTTGGATATTAAATCAACGAATTATTCTATATCAATCATGTGTGCTTTGAAATTAATACTTGAAGTTCATCAAAGTGTGATGATGCCCAAAAGGCCCTGCACTGTATTGGAAGAAGAAGAATTTCATTTACTTAAACTTTACAAAAACAATAATACATGTACATATTACCAAATTTTTATTAACAAGTTAATTACAGATAGTTGTGTAGTTCATCAAAGAACACTGACTAAAATTAATTTTAAAAACATTGCATGTACATTATTATTAATTACTGAAAGTCTGTAGCCAAGTTGAGATTTAAAAAAAAATCCACAGTTTGTTATATCACATGTTCTGGAAATGATACTTTCTGTGCATAACACGCTTTACATACTAAACTTTTCTTGTCCAATCTTCTAAGGCTGCTTAAAAGTTAACATGGTTTACCCTAAATCAAAGACTTATTAGTTTTACAGTTTGTTTTCAATATAAACATCATCTCTTTGCTTCGTACAAGCCGCCATTTTCCGAGGACTTGTACTTTCATTTTCTATTTTTGGTTAGATCGTTCGTGTATCGTTTCGTACAGATATTCTAATGCTTGCATCATAAACAGTATCTTAGAGGAAAATATCGGTATGTATCGGTATATCATCCCACCCCTACTGCATAGTGCACAGTGTACAATTAAAAATGCATTAAAAGACCATTCCGAGTTATTTCTGTTACCTACGATTCAATATTAACCTACAACTTTTTCACACACAAAAAGAAATACTTTTTGAAGCAGGGGTTTTCCTGGCTTGTTTTTGGGTCCGTTTACAGGACCCATTCCCAATCAAAAAATCAGCCATATTTTCCCAATTCTGAATCTTTTTTTTCCCAATTTTGTATCCTTAATTTTTTTAGAGAGTTCAGAAAGAAGTACAATACTTTGTTTCCTTGCAAGACGTCTGAAAGTCTCAACAGGTGTCAACATGCGATCGTATCATCGCTCTATATCATTTTTTTATCATCCAATAACAGCTGAATAATGTGTAACTCTTTATAGCTGTCTACACTTGTTTACTCTATTGTAAAACAGACACTTATTGGTCCCTTCATTTTCATTTATATGGGAAAATAACAAAATTGGTCCTTTTTAAAATTTTCCCAATTTGATCGCATTTCGCGTCAATTTTCCCAATTCTATGGACCCCGGTCCCAGTTAAAAAATGGTAGGAAAACCCCTGTGAAGATTTCTGACTGTAAACAAATGTGCTTGTTCCACCATGAAATATATTATGCATTTCTTCACAACTTACTAGAAACAATCGATAATTTATCAACTATAGTGCAGAAGATCCATAATTATTATGCATAAGTGAGCATGGTCTTTTGTCTAAAACTATCTAATCTTGCATTTACTATTGCTACATCATTCCACAAAGGTCTTGTTTTGTTTTCTGGTTTGTTACATATATACATGTTAAATCTAAAAGATCAACCTTTTTTTTTTTTAAATTTTAGTGATTATCAAACTTTAGGCACTAAAGTCACAAAACAAAGTAAACCCAAGTTAATTAGGTCAACCAGCTGGGTAATCAATTGGGTTAACTCAGTTGCAGCAGTTGTACAAAATGGATTAAATATCGCAGGTTAATTGGGATAAAAATTGTCTAGATTAGGTCAACTTATACTAGATCAGTCTGTTATTGATTTTGTAAGAGCACCAGTCTGTATAAATGTTATTTTGTATATAAATCTACTATGTGAATGCAATATATCACAGTGGAATACAGAAGCAAAATTTACTTCCATTTCCGCTTACAGTCAGATCTATATTATTTAGTGAATACCTTACAATAAATTATTTCTTCTCATATAAAGAATACAGGTATAACTATCTAGACAGAGATACGACAGGGAATGAATCAGTGACCCTATATCTGTGTGAAAATTAGGTAAAAGTTAGTCAAGTTTCTATTCAGTAAAACAAAATTCGTGACTCTGATCTAACAATACATTAAGTTCAAACTTCCAATTAGTTGGTTAATAATAAATTTCATTCTGAGTAAAATTTAATGAGATTGTTAATACAACAAAAGCCCCCAAGTAAACAAAAACAGCCAAATGTCAAGAAGCAAATCAATTCAACTTACAATAAAAAGCTCATTCTGCATATACTTGGCAAATATGAGTAGATATAAAATTCCTGCTACTTTGTATCATGGATAGAATGGTCAGAATTTATCTGACAACTGATAATTACGCCGATGTTGATAGATTTTCCTCAGTTTTGTTGTTTGTAAACATAGAAAATGGTCGCCGGAAACAAGAACCAGGAAGCTAACAAATATGAAACGCTTGGACGAAGAAGACAAAATTAGGCCTATGTTCGTATCATTTCCAGTTTTTCATATGTAGCAATATTTCAAACAAACTCATATGATGATTTACAGATATATTCCATATTTTCATGGATTTACATTAATATTCCCTATCTTTGAAAAAATAAATCCTGATAAAACGGAAATATGTTTTATGGTAAAAGCGAGACAACTCTCAAATTGAATCAACATTTAAAAAAAAAAATATATATATATATATATATATATATATATATATATATATATATATATATATATATATATATATATATATATATATATATATATATATATATATATATATATATATATATATATATATATATATATATATATATATTAAAGTACAATATGAATTTTTAATTCTTTTTATGCGCCCGAATGGATAGATCCAGGGTGTATATCGTTTTAGTCCTGTCCGTTTGTCTGTTTATCTGTTTGTCTGTCTGTCTGTTGTCAACTTTAACTTTCGCCATAACTTTTGAACCATGAGAGATAAAGACTTTATTTTTATTATGCATACTCCACTAATCAAGCTCTTTCAAATGACACCAAGGTCAATGGACTTGTGACCTTGACTGGACCTATATGCTAAAAATAGCTTTTTGGAACTTTCGCCACAACTTTTGAACCATGAAAGATAGAGACTTCGTATTTGGTGTGCATACTCCACTAATTAAGCTCTTTCAAATGACACCAAGGTCAATGACTTTGTGACCTTGACAGTGACCTATATTCTAAAAATAGCTTATTGAACTTTGTTGCTGCCGGGCGCATAGTGTTTACACATCTTGTTTTTTTAGTCTTTTATTCTTTTTCTATTGGGGGGGGGGGGGGGGTAGTGACTAGTTGTTGTTATTGTAAATGTGTATTTGTGATGTTAAATTATTTTTTTCCTGAGGAAGGTCTGAATGAAATATATGGATAATGAATAGTATTTAAGCTCAAATTAGTCAAAAGTCAATTAAACAATACAAAATAGGAGCAGAACTAACACGGACCTCCAAAACATCAGACTTGGGATCAGGTGCCATGGAGGAGTGAGCATCCCATGCAAACTGGTCACACCCGACGTGTGTTCCTTGTCATGATCGAGAAATAACGGGAAAATCCGTCGACAATTCAGTGTGTATAAATAATGGCCTAACAATTAGTATGAAAACGTCAGTCAGCTGTTGACTCAGTGATAAATTGTATTTGCTGACAAGGTCATTGTATCGACCATAGAACTTATGAAATTATGGCTTTAAACGATGCTACTGATATTCCTGTTTCATCAACTTGTTTGTCAATAATTTACATCGTTTTAGAAATTGTACGTACGTGGAGCATGCTCTTGAGTATCGAATCAACTGAGAGATATAAACTTCGCATGCAGGTGATGAAGGTATATTGCTGCATATATGTAAGGGAAGTTGTCGATTGAAAAATTAAAGTATTCATGCACTTTTATCATAAAGCTTGGTTGTTAGATTCCTATAACCTTCTTTTTCCAAAAAAAATATTAAAATATGAGACAGATGAGTCAGACTCTGTGGTATTTTTTTTTTCTCAAGCTCACCGGAATATATCGTATCGACATCAGATATGAATATAAATGACCATTGTTAATTGGCAATACGTCGTCGATATACCCAGTATCTTTAAATGTTGAATTGAATGCCACAGCATATGTTTTCTTCTATTCTGGTGTAAGATTTTTGATAAATTCTGCTTTATATGAATACAAAAATAGTTCTGCTAATAATGGGGCGCAATTTGTATCCATGCAAATTCCAGTAGATTGGATAATCCTAATCCTAATCCAAACCCTAACCCTGACGTTACCCTACCTTAACCCTACCCTAACCCTAACGCTTACCCTTACCCTACCTCTAACCCTATCTATAACCCTAACCTTAACCCCAACCCTACCTTACCCCTACCCCTACCTTAACCCTAACCCTAACCCTAATATTGTATTGTCAATCAGAAACTCAAGCATCGTTTTAATGTCAACTTCAGAATACTCGTGTTTACAATCAGAATGTTTTTTAACAAAAAAAAAAAAAAATGAAAATAATCAATGACAAGGAAAGTAAATTTACGAGTTACATTTTTATTGAAAATACAGCTGTCATTGATATTATAAATCCTGGACTTTAAGTATTATTTAGAGTACGAGTTTATTACTGTATCAGAGATACAGGGCGGGGCTTGAGGCGAGAGCGATAGCTCGAGCCGGGCCCCGCCCTGTATCTCTGATACAGTAAGAAACGAGTATTCTAAATGACTTGTGACATGACCTTTCTAAGGACCTCACTAATTTACATGCGTATTTGGGTGTATACCTCCCAACCAATCAGATGATTTTGTAGAAAGTTGATTTAGTATCCCATTTTAAGCATTCTCAACTGAAATGCCGAGTGAGATGGACGTGCAGGTATCTATCATTTTAAAATTTTTAAGGGATGCATAAATTAATTTGTTTTCCAAAAATTTTATTTAGATTTGATTGCGCAGGGTTTTTTTTCTCTATGCAGCTCTTGCTGACATTTTTTTTTTTCAGTTTAAGCTACGATTTAATGCAAAACATTTTGATATACAAGAATCATGTGGGAATATTTTTGAAACAAAAATGCTTCGGGAGATCGTAGATTCTGAGAGAAATGTCCGACAATGTCCTATACCGGTCGTCGTATACAAAATTGAAATAAGCAGATGAAAGGAAAAGGGAGGTATTTTACCTTCACGTTTTCATTAAAATGTAGAGTAACCAAACGGGGATACAGCACTCACTGGTGCCCCCATCCCACCTTTGAGTTTTTTTTCTTTTTCGCTTTCTTAAATTTTTTTTTCTAAACTTGTATACATACGGTTTTTAATTCATCAACAAGTAACGAAATGACCACATAGGTGTTGGTTGATTATAAATCTACCCCCCACGGAATACGATTTTCCGTTTTTTTTTTTTTGGGGGGGGGTCAAAGTAATAATTTGTGAACTGCCCCACTCCCTCCTTTCTAAAATTTTTGAATCCGACAATAATTCCCTTATGTTGTAAAATTGTATTTTTAATTCACCTCAATTTTTGAGTAAATACTAACAGTTCTATGGCGAATTGAACGACTGGTATGTCTGTATACGAATACAGCTTTCCGTCATCGCTAAAAATAAACCGTACTGTATCGTTGATATTTTGCAGATACAGTACAGTTTCTGCTCATTTGCATAAGAAACGCCCACAAAAAGTGTTCTGTATCGCAGTTACAGTATGCTTGACTTCAAAGGAAAACTCGCCGGGTCATGTCACAATTTATCGTGGAGAATGGTTGTGTATGAAGCTGAAAAGTCGTAAGTTTTAAGCTACTGATTTAGGTAAAATTTGTGATTTCGAATTTTCCGACAGTTCCATGGAATTTTTAAAATACCGGTATCCACATCTGACTTACACCACTTCTAAATATATTGTTGCGCTGTATACTCTTGAAGTTTCCCTTTCACTGCTGTTATAAAAAGAAGCTTGGATGAACATTTACTGGAACCCGCTAAGTATCTTGTTTGTAAGGATTTTTATAAAGTTCTGGACATAGGTGTCGGAAGCAGATTGAAAGTGGAGGGGGGGATTCAAAACTGACATATGATTTTGAAGAAGTTTCTCTTTAGAAAGAGGACTATGAGCATAAGCTGGATTACCACCTAGATATCAGACTCGGAAATGTATGACTAAGAAATAAGCAAGAAAAAAAAAACTTGTCCAAGCCTGAAAATGCTATTTCCTGGATTGAAATGAGTTAACTTCATAAGTCTGGATTCTCCTTAACTCTTGATTCAACCCCCTGAAAGCAGGTTATTAAAGACCCCCCCCCCCCCCCCCCAAAAAAAAAAAAAAAAAAACAACATTTGAAACTTTCGATATAATCAAGCAAATCTTGGAGTTTGTTTTTTCCATTATCACTAAAATATACATGTACTAACCCCCCCTCCCCCGCTTTCCCTATACCGATACTATATGCCTTTAAATTTTGTCATTTGTTACATGTTATTGCATGCAGTATCGATTCCTTGCAATAAGAATAACTCCACACATAAAATATTTTAAAAAGTTTATCTTATATATTTTATTTGCTTATTTGAGTAAAATAAAGGGGTATATTTTACTTCTTAAAAATTTGGTCAGGTCATTATATGTCCGATCGGGTCAATAAATCTTCATAAAATATGTGGATAAATAAGGTATGTGCCATTTATTAAAACGTTTATTCAAAACAATCAGAAGAATTATATCACTGTCTAGAATATTCGTTTAAAATAAATATTGTTTTTGGCGACTTTTATGTTTGTTAGGCAAATAAGAATATTATTAGGTAAGGTAATTAGTATCTTCTATATAACCTTGAGCATTAAATATATATCAAGAAAGGCCATTGTAATTTACCTTTCGTCAAAGCCAGAGGGTACATGTACAAATATATTTTCATCTGTTAAACAACTGCCCGTTTGTAAATTTTTTACGCATTAGCCAAACAAAATTTTCTTACTTTTGCAAAGAATTTCAATTTTAAAAAGTAATCCTCTCCTTTCCTTAAAAATTGAATTTCAATAAAACCGTTTTTGTCCGATAAATGTTTTACACATTTTCTATTCCATTTCATACCGTCTTCAAGCACTGTAGACACGAGGCGTGAGGAAGACTAAAAGCCTGCAAAAATGGTAATATTTACATGTCTAAAGGGAAGAAAAGTGGCCAATATCGTCTAATGTTACGTTAAATAAGATGAATTTCATAATACTGATCAATGTTTATTGCAAGGAGCAGAGAATGTTCAATTGCTACAAGTTTTGCGTTGTCGCGTTATGTCGCCATTTTTCTACGATAATTTTTTTGTGAAATAAAACTTCCTGGCTAAAACGAAAGTGTGACAATATTGGCGTTTATCTTATTTTGTTGTATTTTTTACATTTTTAATCTCTTTTCCCCATGACGC